GTCTCGTCGCATGCGCAGTAGAGTGCGCGGGAAGCGCGGATTCTAGAGTCAGTCCCGGTCCCGGCTAACCCGGTACGGTGGAAATCTTTGCTTTCCCTAAGGTCCAGCCGCTTCTTTTTCCCAGGCTTCCCCAACTCTCCTGCCCGCCCCGTCTAAACCACTGTTAAATATTATTTCCTCTCTCCTTAGCACCTTTTTTGTGTTTGATTTTAAAGTTAGCTGTTAAAGGCTGCAATCGCAGCACTCAGAGGCCGAGGCAGGAGGATCGCTGCAAGTTCAACCCCAGTCTCAGCCTGAACTACATAGTAAGACCCTGTCTCAAAAACAACAACAGCAACAAAAACATTCCCAACACTGGAGTGAAGAATAGAATAGGACTCCGCATTGTCGTTCCAGTTTAATAAAAAGGGAAGCTGAGGCCCCTGGAGGTTGCCCGGCTTGTCTCAGTGCTGCATTTGACGACCTCCACACCAGGCTCCCCAGCCGGAGGAGGATGTACAATTTCAGTGTGACGCGATTTCAGGGCCGGCCACGTAGCTCTGTAGAGGGCTCGCCTGGCATCTAAGTGAGGCCTTCAATTTGCTCCCCAGCAAATTAGGCAAAGTACAGCCTTTAGCACCCTGCAAAATACTCCATAAATGTGACCCGACTCCATTTCCAAGCACCTGCTTCTGTGCTTGATAAATGCGACTCGGTGGCTGAGTGTGCAGAGGGGTCTCCTTTGCGTGTCCTCCAAGTTGTACGCAGGGGAGGCCAGGTAATCATGCCCCTCTAGCCCAGCTCGGGCATGTGGAGGACAGGCCAGAAATCTCAACCCCTCTTCTTATAACACCAGCCAGGTGAGGTTTTTTTTGTTTTGTTTTGTTTTGTTTTTTGTTGTTTTTTTTTTTTGTACTGGGGATCAAACTTGCTGCAAGGCAGGTGGCAGAACCTTTGAGCCAAATCCCCAGCTCTGGGTGAGATTTTTTAAGGACCAGGCCAGCCCCAGAATTGCATCGGATTTAAACTGTATGTCCTGTGGGCAGACCGGGCTGTCAGAGGGGTGTCTTAGTGTTACAGCCCAGTGTCACGGCTGTTCACAGGTCTCCAGAGATGAAGCTGCCAAGGACAGCACTTGGAGAAATGGAGGAAACCTTTATAAGCCAGCAGGCCCGGAGAAGTACTCTGAGCCCCAAGCAGAGGTGGAGGCAGCCTTGTATGGAGGGGTGGGCCCATGTGTAGGGCCAGCACTCTTGCAACATCAAGTAGAAACATCTTACAGCTCAAACAATGACATTGCTTTAACAGAACATCTTAAGGCAAAAACACGGAGGAGGGACAGGGGAACAGACAAAAGCCTGCCTGCTGTGCATCATCTCTGTATTATTTGCAGCGATGCCCCCCATATCCACCTTGCTGAGGGGCACCGCACATCAGCCACTGTGTCCCTTCCAAGTAGGTAAAGGGAGAGACATGGCCAGGGCCCGGTGTGGTGCCTGTGTGTGACAGGTCACTGGCGTTGCACATGTCTGTGTCTGGCCAGCCGGAGCAGGTCTCGTTCAAGTGTGTGGAAGAAACGAGTAAACCTGTGTGTGTGTGTGTGTGTGTGTGTGTGTGTGTGTGTGTGTGTGTAACAAGTCTCAGCCCCAGATACTGCAGAGCAAACCCGATTTGCTTCTGTACCGAAAGTGCTCTGTGGGCAGCCACACTCTGTGCCAGATTTGAGTGCATTTATTAAAATTGGCAGCTGAGGGGGGCTACTGCCTGGCAAGTTCTCTCGGTGATGGGAATCAGTTTGATTTCTCTTTTAAAATCATGTTTTCATATGGGGAGGGCTCCGGGGAGAACAAGCGGAATCTTATAGAAGCAGAACCATGCCAGGTTAGTGGGGGACACAAGTTTTTTTTGCCAAGCAGGATATGAAGGTTTGGGGTGCTTTGTCCAAGCACAGGTACAAGTTGATGTCAAGATGGAGTTGGGTTGGCTATCACACATTCCCACCAGCAGTGGGTGAAAACCAATTCCTCCATGTCCTCGCCAACACTTGGTGGGGTGAGTCTTTTGATTTTTGCCCACTCTAATGGTGTGTAGTCTCTTGGTGGGGCTCCGATTTGTATTTCCCTAATTAATAATAATCTTGAGCACTGTTTCAGGTGCTCATTCGCCATTTGTATACTTCCTTGGAAGAAGCATTGCTCGAATCTTTTTGCTCAGCTTTAGAAGTTTTCTGTTTTTCTGCTTTAGTTCTTTAGGGTTTTTGTTCATTTTTGTGTTTTTGGTGTGGGGGTAGAACCTAGGGCCTGTGCACATACCAAGCAAGTGCTATACCTGCAGTGTAAATAAAGTTCAAATTGTGTAACTGATAATGTGAAATAGGAAGAAAAGGGCTAAAGGAGTAGGGGAAGTGGGAGGGGAAGAGGAAAGGAAAGAAGGGAAAAGAAAATATGAGAAAAGGAAAAAATGGAAACAAAGTCTTTGTAAATAGGGGAGGGTGGAGGGGGTGAAGGGAGGGCAGGGGTATGGGGAAAAAATAAGAACCAAGATACATCATGTAAAGGTACAAGATCTCAATGATGAATGTAACTGTACTGTATACCTAAAATGTACCATAAACTTAATAAAAAAAAAAAACCTGAGTTAATCAACTTCTAAAGATAGTTTATCAAGAAGTTGTTGTTGCTATTGTTTTCTCTTTGGTTTTTTTGAGACAGGGACTCACTGGGTAGTTCAGGCTCACCTCGAACTCGCTATGTACACTGGGCTGGCCATGAACCCATGGTGATCCTCCTGCCTCAGCCTCCCCAGTGCTGGGATTGCAGGCGTGGGCTACCACGCCCAGGAGCTCAAGAGTTTTAACAGCTATTAACATAGCTGGTCACCTCGTGACCAAAGCCGATTAGTGAAAAGGCACAGTGGTGGTGGGGAAGAATTTCAGGAGGCTGCCCTAGACTCCCAGAGGATGGCAGCCCAAGGGCCGTCTCTGACATTCCACTCCATAGGACGGCGGTGGCCTCAGACTGGGGGGGTGTCCTGGTAGAGGTCAAGGCCAAATGACACAAGCGGTGCTTTTCAGTTCTCCAGACTTCTAGAGCAAAGGTGGCCCTGCCCTCAGCTGGGCTGTCCTTGGTTAGCTCCCCAGGCCCAATTCCTGCACTTCCGGACCGCAGCCCAGGCTCAGGGTGGAGCAGCAGTATCCAGGCCCCCTGCTGACTACCAAGCTCACGGAACTGAAAGAAAACCAGCATGGCCCGATTACTGGGGAAGTCGGACTGGGAGCCAGTGGGTGACCAGGTGGCTGACTGCTTTCAGCTTCTGGTGAAGGCTCAGCGTGTCAGGGGAGGAGCCTGTGATGACCAAAACCCGTAGCTCAGGGTGAGGAAGTGCAGGCGGAAGGGGAAGGGAGGGGTCCTGGCCAGCCCTCCTGCTGCTGGGTGCGCAGCTGTGTCCTTCAGACTCTTCCTAACTCCACACCCCGAGTCACACCAAACTAGCCGCCGGCACGGCAGCCTGTGTTCTCAGCACTTGGGAGGCTGAGGCAAGAGGATCACTCTGCATTCAAGGCCAGTCTGGGGTGCGGGCCAGCCTGAATTAATAGTGAGACCCTGTCTCAAAACAAAAAACAAAAGGGCCAGGGATTTAATTTAGCTCAGAGGTTCTGCCGCCTGCCTCACAAGTGCAAGGGCCGGAGTTCGATTCCCAGTACCAAAAACAAAAAACAAAAAACAATGACACCAAGCTCGGGGCCAAGCTATGGAGCTTGAGAGATGCAGAGGGTAGCTCACAGACTTGTCTGTAGGAACGTGAACTGGAGCAGCTCTCTGGAGAGCTTTCTGGCGTTTCTTCTCAGACACTCAGCCTACAACCTAACGAGGCCACTCTCAGGTTCTTATCCCAGGGAAGTGAACGCTACATTCACTTAAACATCGCTCGCAAGCGATCCTGGAAGCTGGACCATAATTGGCCGAAAGCCAGAAACCCCGAGGTCCTTCTGTGGGGGAACGGTGAAATGGCCATGACATATCGATAAGAGAAAGGACCCCCGCAATAAAAGGAGTGTACTATGGGCACAGGGTGGGGGGGGGCCCGGGATGGGCCTCAAGGACATTACATTGCTTGGAAAGTAGCAATCTTGAAAGTTTCACACTTCAAGTTTCCATTTATAGAATGATTCAAAATAACACAATCATAGGAATGAAGCACAGATCTGTTTTGGGTTTGGGGGGTTGGGGGATTCGTGGGTTGGCTGTAAAGGGGACTTTGCAGGGACGGGACAACTCTTTTTTTATTTTGGCTTTTTGAGACAGGGTCTCACTATGCAGTCCAGGCTGGCCTTGAACTCATATGTAGCCCAGGCTGGCCTCAAACTTGCAAGGATCCTCCTGCCTCAGCCTCCCAAGCGCTGGGATTACAGGCGTGCGCCACCACACTTGGCTGCATTTATTATTAGGAGTGTCAGAGAAGCCCAAATCCAGCCCAGAGCCTGTGCACCAAGCTCGGCGGTGCCCATCCTCTGGCCAGTGTGTGGGCTGATCTGCTCAGAGGGACTCTGTGGAGGGTCTGGGTGCAAGCTGTCTGCTCAGCTCTGTCTGGCCCGGCATCCACACTCTCTTCCTGGGTTAGGCCACAGGGCCGAGGCCACAGCCTCCAAGGATAGTCAGACCCAGGATGCTGACCGGTGTGTGAGTTGGGGACACTTCAAGCAGCACTGTGGCTGCTGCAGTGGCAGGGAGGGTGCTGGGGGCCACTGAGGGCATGGCTTTCCAGGGAGTTTCTCCCTGCTTCTCAGTTTCCCCGCAGGCCTGGGATCCCGCACCCTCTCCCTCGCCTCTGCTGTATCCCCAGCCCTGCTCCTGAGTGACTGTAGCTGGTTCTAGACTCCTTGTTGGAGCCGGGCGTGGTGGTGCACATCTGCCATCTTAGCACTGGGGAGGCTGAGGCAGGAGGATCGCTGAGGGTCCGAGACCAGCCTGGGCTACATAGCAAAGCTCTACCTCAAAAAGCCAAAACAATGAAAATCAAAGTCCTTGTTGGAGTCAGCAACAGAGAAATGAACAAGGATGCCACCTCTCTTCACCCTTCGGCCCTCGGGGTGACTCTGCAACGTAAGAGGCTGGATGACACCTCTGAGACGTGAGGAGAGGCTGAGGCAGGAGGCACCAAACTCAGCCCTGGCCAGGGAGACGCCTCAGAGCAGCAGCAGCTTCCGCAGCTGCCCCCACTCCTCTAGAGCGCTTGGATTACAAGTGCCCAGCTTGTTCCCCCAAATCACTGATGGCCCCAACCCAATCTGCACCATTTGGGTCAAGGGCACCACCACGCATGCGGTGGCCCTGGCCAGCGGTCCTCTTCCTCCTCGCATGGCCACACCCCCTCAGCTTCCCATAAGGCGAGCCTCCCATCTCCCAGCTGCTGTCCCCGCCCCTGCTGCGCCTCCCACTCCTCCGGCCTGGACGGTCGTAGCCCAGGCAGACCTTACAGCAGTTCCTCGGGCTCAAGGGGCTGGCCCCAGGCGCACATTCTACTCAGAACCAAGCAGGCTCCCCACGGAGGCCCTGAGGCTCCTCCACGCCGGGCTTTGCCTCCCTAGCTGTCTTCTCAGCACCAGGCTGTGCCCTCCCATTGCCCTTCGATGTGACAAAGGTCAGCTGTTGCCCATGTGTCATCTCTCCATGGAGCACAAGCCCTAGCAGGAGGACAATAAATGCTCCGGGAATGGTCACTGCTGGACCCTCCCTCCCGGGCAGTGCGGAGTGGGGTGGGCCACAGGAAGGGACGGACCTTTACCTTCCTTCTAGGGCCCCAGACCTGTCATGGGCTACCACGAGCCAAGGCCAGGAGGCGAGGATGAAGGAGACACAGATCCTCTTCTGCTCTGGATTTGCTGTGGGTGGGTTCCCTTCATGGTCCCCACTTTACAAACAGGGAAATGGCTGGGCATGGTGCGTGCCTGAAATCCCAGCATTCGGGAGGCTGAGGCAGGAGGATCACTGTGAGTTCAAGGTCTGTCTGGGGTGCATAGTGGGTTCAAGGCCAGCTTGAACTACATGGCCAGACCCTGTCTCAAAAAGCCAAAACAAAAAACCAAATACCCACAGGGAAACTGAGGCATCCAGAGGCAAAGGTCCTCACCTAAGACCCACGGTGAGTAAGTCAGACTTGTCCAATCCAACCTCTGGTTTCCTCTCCTGATCAGCAGCCTCTTTCAGCAGGGTCTTAGTGGGGACAAAAGAGGGGCTAGACTCTCGGGGGAGGCCGAGGTGCATCACCAGGGCAAGGGGTAGAGGGGCCATTACTCCCGGCCTGGGACATCTGTGCCAGGCAATTTGGTTGCTTAACTACAAACCTGCCTCCCCTGGCCCCTGCACTGAACCAGCCCTTTTTTATCTTTAAATTTTGAGACAGGGTCTTGCTCAAGCACTAAGGTACCCGGGCTGTGCTGCAACTTGCGATCACCCTGCCTCAGCCTCCTGGATGCTGGGATTACAGGCGTGCACCACCACACCCCTCAATTCCTTCTGTGTAAAATGTCCAGAACAGGCCAGTGCAGATGGGGTAAGCACTTGCCAGGGCCTGGAGACTCCTTTGGGAAGGGTCTGGGAACCGGAAGTTGTGAGTGGATGAAACGCGGCTGCACTGTGTGCTTTAAAATTAATCTGGAGCTGAGGGTGTGACACTTGCTGAGGGTGCAGGAGGCCCTGGGTCTGATCCCCAGCACTGTTTTATTATTTTTGAAATAAGATAGGTTGCGTGAGCAGGGGATTCGTCTCAGTGGTTCTGTCGCCTGCTTCGCAAGTGCAAGGACCTGAGTTCGATCCCCGGTACCGAAAAGAAAAAATAAGTAAATAAATAAAAAGAAAGTTTGCGTGAACTTCACCTCAATTAGGAAGTAACATAAATGCAGACCTGTGATCAGACAGAAATGCAGCAGTGGGGACTGCAACAGCGGTGGCATTCCGGGGTATCTGGGGTCCTGGGTGGCAGTGCCGGAAGTCCTGGGAAAGTGTGCGCTTCAGGAAGTGGGGGTCCAGCCTCAGGGACAAACGGCCTGTTGGGACCACACCCATTGTCGCTTCCTCTTCTGCCGCAGCCAGGCCTGTCAGGTCTCTGCTCACCCTCCCAGGGCTCTGTCCCCACCTCCTCAGGCCGAGTCCCTCCCCTGCATGCCTCTAGGGACTGACTGTGGTCTCGGGGTTTGCACCTCCAGTATCACTGATGTGGGTGATGCAGGATTGGCAGCTGACGTTTCTCGAGGTCCTGGGGCGGTGGGTGGAGGGGAGGATGCTGGCGTGGGTGGGTCTGGTGAGGGTGGGGGTTCCGGCCGCCTTCTAAGGGTTCCACCCTGTCCTGAGACTCCGCCCACGCGACCTGTGTGCCCCCAAATACCATTAGGCTTTCAACACCTGAGCGTGGGGTGCTGTGAGGCTTCAGTGCACAGGGCGTCCCTGGAGGAGGATTCACTCGCTCCAGTCAAGGCTCAGGGGCCAGAGTCAAGTAACTACCTCTTTTCTTTTTTTTGAGACAGGGTCTCACTATGTAGTCAGGCTGGAGTTGAACTTGCCATGCATCCCAGGCTGGCCTCAAACTCATAGCGATCCTCCTGCCTCAGCTTCCCGAGTGCTGGGATTACAGGTGTGCTCCACCATGCCCGGCCCACATGCATTCTTGTTGTTTGTTTTTTGTGGTACCAGGGATAGAACTCGGGACCTTGCACTTGCAAGGCAGGCGGCCGAACCCCTGAGCCAAATCCCTGGTCCCCCACATTCATTCTTTGTTCTGGTTTGGGTTTTGAGACAAGGTCTTGCTATGCAGCCTAGGCTGGCCTCAAATTCCTCCTACCTCAGCCTCAGCATGCGCCACCATGCCCAGCTTTTATTTTTTACTTTTTTAAATTGTAGTACTGGAAATTGAGCCCAGGGCCTTCACACTGAGTTAGATTTCCAGTCATTTATTTATTTACCAAAGCCCCATTTAATTCCTTAAATTGCCCAGACTGGGTTTGGACTTGTGACCCTCCTGCTTAGTCTCCTGAGCCCTGGGATCACAGGCCTGCACCATCATGCCTGGCTGTATCTTCTGAACTTCCATGTTCTGACTCACCTTCACCAGTGCAGTTTTGTTTGTTTGTTTGTTTGTTTGTTTTAGTTTTTGAGACAGGGTCTCGCTATGCAGTTGAGACTGACCTGGAAGTCACTATGTAGCCCAGGCTGTCTCAAACTCACAGTGATCCTCCTGCCTCAGCCTCCCGAGTGCTGGGATTACAGGTGTGTGCCACCACGCCCAGCTACCAGTGCAGTTTTGATGAGTAAGGACGTAGTCCAAGCCCTCAGTAGGACATGACTCGCTCCTCCTTCACCTACCCATTTATTCTGTGCACCGTTTCTGGACTCCACATCTTGGGGGGCCCTTTAGGTTTCCCCTCAGCTGGACCAACCCGCCCTGCTTCCAACCCACACCAGCTTCCAAGGAGGGGAGGAGGAGAGAGGAGTCCTGGCCTGCCCAGCTCAGTCCTGCAGCTCGCTGGAGAATACTTCCGCCCAGTCCAGGGGTGGCCAGCGGTTCACAGACGTCTAGGACGGCTCTGAGGTCCCCAGGGGCTTGGGGATAGCTTCCTGTGTGATCTGGGAGTCGTGGGTCATCTCCCCATCAGAGCTGCCCCTGTCCCTGGACAAGGGGATGGCAAGAGCAAGGATCAGGAGAGCAGGGCAAACCCAAGCTCTGAGGGTCAGGCCGATGAACATTTAGTGTGCTCACAGACCTTGCCTCAGGTCTTTGTTCCACGCCCAGTCTTTCTGAAGCATTCCCCGGGAATAAGGAAGGTGCCACCCGCTGGGAACTATGTGAACCAACAGTGTGAGGTCTCACTGTGGGCCGGACAATTAGAGGCCACTGACTCCCACGGCCCAAGGCTGAATTGCTTGCTTTTCTCACTCAACCACGACCTGGCAGCGCTCTCTGCCGGTGATTTGCTGCGTTGCAGCCGGTGGCCGCTCCGGGACCCCCTCTCCCGCGGGGGCTGCCCCTAGTCCTAAGCCACACAGGGGTGTCCTGGGTACTCACACGAAGCTGAGGACGATGGCGCCAGCGAAGCCCACGAGCAAGAAGAAGGGCAGGGAGCCCAGGACGGAGGTGATGACGATCATGCCCCCGCTGCGCCTGCCGGGCCACGTGTCGATGGCCGCATAGGGGGTGACTGCGGAGAACCCCGCTGGGTTACACCCCAGACAACTGGCACCTCAGTCTTCTGGAAGGACAGGCAGGTGCCCCCCGCCCGGACGCCCAGGGTCCAAGGGTGAACCAGTGACGGTATCCTCCCACTTCCCACGTCCCTGGCCTCTCCTTCCTTGCCTGATTTTCAATTCTAAACTGACTCACGTGAATGGTGAGCAGGTGGGTAGAAACTACAATCAAAGCTAAGCAAGGGTGCTGGTGTGGCGAGGCCAGGTGGGCTGTGGCTCTCGTCCTCTTCTGGCTGCAGTCCCCCTTGGGGATCAGGCACCGGCCCTCCCATGCTCTGATCCTCTGGCCTCGTCCCACCCAGGTCCCCAGAGACCTCCACTCCGCAGACCTCTCCCCAGCCCCAGGAGTCTGAGCCCTCACAGACCAGGGCTCCATGTGTGGCCCCAGGTGCATGCTGTCCCTGAGCCCAGCGCTTGGGTCTGGCCCGAGGTGCTCAGGGCTGGGGCTTCTCTCAGGACCCCCGGGTGAACCTGGGTTCCTCTCCCACTTGTCAACCAGGAGACCCTGCAGGGTAGTGTGAGGGCTACCAGCTGGCTCAGTGGGGCCTGGTGCAGGGACGTCCCTGAAGGGTGCAGGGAGAGTACACTGCTGGCCAGAGGGACGGTGACCCTGACCTCACCTCAGCTCCTCCATGGGACTCCCCAGTCTCAGTGAGCACCCCGTCTTGTTCTGGCCCTGGAGGGCAGAAGGCAGGGAGGGCACGTTGCGGGATAAACTGGGGTTTTTTGCTTTTATTTTTATTTTTTATTTATTTTTGAGACAGGGACTCACTATGAAATTCAGGCTGGCCTTGAATTTCTGGCTATTTCCCTGCCTCAGCCTCCTAAGTGCTGGGATTACAGGCATGCACCACCATGTCTGGCTTCAGGTCAAACTGTTTTAAGAGGCTGTTACTCCTCAGCTCCTTGGCCGGCTGGTACTCCCGGAAGACAGCCAAGCCTGGCCCTGGCTTCCTGGCCCTGGAACACCACCCTAGCCCACCCCACTTACGCTGGTTGGTGCGGATGTGGTCCGACCACAGGCTCTCGTCCTGTACCAGGCCAGAGGACACATTGACCAGGGCATACTTGAACCTAGGAGACATAGCCAGAGTGACTTCCGGTGTCCCGTATGTCCCAGCTGCGGGGAGACAGAGGACGGAGCACCGCTACAGAGGGGACTCCCAGGAGACAGCCACCGGTCAGCTGGAGGGTAACAGGAGGGGGCAGGACTTGGCCGTCGGACACCCCTGCACCCTCCTGTCATGACTTGTGTCTAAATGTCCTCCAAAGCCTCATGTGCTCATAGGTGGGGCTTTTTGAAACTGGCCGGATCTAAGGCGTACGATACTGGGATTAAGGGCGTATGGTGCTAAATGAGTCCACTGATTAGAACTAGCATAGTTCTGGGTGTGGATAATGGAAGCCCCACCCTGGGTGTGGGTGGCACCTATCAAAGGGCTTTTAGCCTGGACGGAATTAAAGGGACAGGAAGAAGGCAGGCTGCTGCTGCTACTGATGCTTCCGGCCTACCCGGCCTACCCTGCCACGGACTGTTTCCCCTCTGGACCCTGTCGCACGACTGAAACCTCTGCGGTGTGGGCCAGAATAAACCTTTCCTCCTTTAACTTGCGGGAATTTTGTCTCAGCAATGAGAAAGTTACCACGACACTTCCCAAGCTTCCTCCGGGAAGCCTTCAGTGACCCCTGTGCAGGACACGTGTTTACTTCGTGTTGCTCATGGGACACACATACTGGGCATATTGGGGTGATACCGACAGCCGACCCCACTGCCCTCGGGTCAGAGCTACATTGCAGGCTCAGGAAACCCTAATAAATGTTGCAAGACTACAGATATCCACCGCCTACTTTAAGGCTCACACACAGTCAGTCAAAAGCAATGGATGGTTTGTAGCCTGTGATGTCTACAGCCTATGGCTGTTGACCCTTACAAAAATGCATTCTGGGAGGCTGAGGCAAGAGACTGTAAATTGGAGCCCAGCCTGGCAATTTAGTAACTCAGTGAGAGCCTGTCTCAAAATTGAGACAAATAAACTTTTTTTAAAAAAGGGTCTGAGAAGGGCTAGGGATGTAGCTCAGTGGCACCATGCCTGCCTCACAAGCACAAGGTCTTGAGTTCAATTCCCAGTACCAAAAAATAAACAAACAAAAGGTCTGAGAAGCTGGACGTGGTGGAATACATCTGTGATCCCGGCACCTGAAGGCAGGGCCAGAAAGATCACTGAGTGTTCGAAGCCAGCCTGGGCTACACAGTGAGACCCTGTCTCAAAACCATACCAAACAACAACAAAAAATCTGCTCATCCAGAGTTTTGGCGAATCCCATGCCGCTGTTTCAAGGTGAGCATTCCAGGATGGGGCCGTGTGCCAGCCCTGGGCCCCTGAGGCAGGGTGTGTTTTCCCTAGGAGCCAGAGAGGACTGCAGAGGCAGGAGAGGTGTTCCCAGAGGAAACACAGGTCAGAGGGCCTGGGCTGGGGAAGAGGACAGAGGGATCCTTGTCCCCAAAGGGCTGAGGTGGAGGCAGGGGCGAGCACTCTGTGAGGATACCAGGTGGTCAGTGCTCTGGGTCCCAGACAGGCTCAGAAGCTTTGGAGACGAGACCCCAACCTAGGTGTCCCCATAGCAACCAAAGTGAGTGTAACCAAAGGTTTGACCCCTGGTCAGAACCCCAGCTCTGCGGGTGGAGACTGAACTTGGAGGAAGGGGTGGAGGGAAGGCCGCCCACCCAGCTCTAGCTCATGTCGTGTGTGTGCCTCGGGGGTGGTACGCGGAAGGACAGCTGGTTACTAGGCAGCCTTACCTCTCTGGACCGCATGTCACTTCTCTCTGTGTTGGGCCAAGACTCGTGCATCACAGGTGGGGCCCAGCGCACAGTGAAAATGTGGCCCCTTGTTCCAAAGGAAGCGCTTTGGGGGGTGATCACAGAGCATGGAGCCAAGTGGGGCCACCTGAGCCCTGGGCTCTGCTCTGTTCCAGCCCAGGAAGCTGGCTCCGCCTGAGACCCGGGCGGCCCAAGCAGCCAAAGTCTGGAGAAGTGTGGCTGCTCCCGTTCTGTCCCCTCCTCCTGTGGCTGCTCACACATACCCACCTGTACGCCGTGGCAGCTGACAGCGGTGGGTTGCAGATGCCCCGGAAGTTGGGGTCCCACAGGCAGGCCCCGTTGTCCCCCACTCTGACCAGGTATGCATCCAGGATCTCTGAGGCCTGGTTTACGTCCTTGACCGTGTCCAGGCTGGGCAGGTCACTGCAAGGGGTCAGGTCGAAGGCGGCAGCTCTGTAGGGACTTGTCCTCCCGCCCACAGTTTGCCGGAACGTGGATGTCAGGGGGCTCTTGCCGCTGTCCTGCACGGAAGTGTTCCTGGAGCCGACTACAGAGGCAGAGCCAGGGGTGAGGGTCCTGGCCACACTCCTTCAGTCATTCATCAAACGGCTCAAGCCTCTGGTCTGCTGTGGCCATGGCTGGGCCCTCCCATTGCAATGGGGGAGACGGACAAAGAGCACCTCTCAGCTTTGGGCACTGTGCCTGGCTCTCCCACTTTATCTTACTGCTGTTTTATTTTGTTTTCTTTTATTAGGTAGGGTCTCACTATGTAGTCGAGGCTGGCCTTGAACTTGCAGTGATCCTCCTGCCTCAGCCTCCTGAGCACTGGGATCACAGGCGTGCTCCACTACACCTGACTTCCTCACTTCATCTTGTAACACTTCTGCCATCCCCACCCCAGCAGACCTGTACACCTGTTCCGACAGCCCCGGGTGATCTCTTTCGTGAAACGGGAAAGAGGATCCTGTGGGACTGGGCAGGACAGGGAGGCAGATGACCCGTGTGGGATTCCTGGTCTCTTCCTCACTGCTGAGTGATCCTGGACAGCTCGCTCTACCTCTCTGGGTCCCAGCGTGTCTTCAGTGAACTGGCCTCAGATACCCCATAGACTGGGCACAGGTCAGCAGTCAGAAAACGTTTGCTGAGAGGATAGAGGGCCAAGGCTCAGGCAGGTCCCAGCAGGTCCTAATGCTGGGCTTCGCCTCCCAATCCCAGAGCCCTGGGGAGCCTCGGGGAGGACCCGGGCTAGGTGGGTACTCGGTGGTGGTTGGTGCTGGGTGCCAGGAGCAGGTCTGTGCCACCCGGAGCTGACCGCAGCGGGCACCAGTGCATGCTGGAGAAGAGCACAGGTGAGTTTAGTGATGCAACTATGGGGACGGAGCACCCTCTCCCGCTTCCTCTTCCGGGGCCAGGTTGGACCCCTTTCAGAGCAGCGGGAGAGAAGCAGGACCCTTACCCGAGTCTACCGTGACGTAGAGGTAGACCTTGTAGGTACCCGTGAGCGGCTCTGTGCTGTCAAACACGCAGAGGGGCTTTTCCAGGGCCACGGTGGTGAGTGTGGGGTTGTTGGTGGCGAAGGTGATGCTGGCCAGCTGGGGCTGAAGGTCGACAGCTGGAGGAGGAACGCAGTGGGGAGCTGACCCCACTCGTTACCTGCCTTGTGCCAGGCACTGTGCCTCACCCCGCCATGGGCCTCCTCCTGAAGGTGTCTCGGGCTCAGGGGTTACCCTTGGCTCCACACTGCTGGTCACCCTGGCCAGAAACCCTGCCCCTCTTTTTTCCTTCTTCTTTGGTGGTCCTGGAAATCGAACCCAGGGCCTCTGCACTATATTGCTATATACATGGCCCAGGCTGATCTTGAATTTGCAGTTCTCCTGCCTCAGCCTCCTACAGTGCTGGTATTACAGGTTTTCACCACCATGCCCAGCTTGTCCCCAAGAGCACCACTGCCACTCCCCAGGGTGTCTCTGCCCACGGGCTCTTGTCCCATCCACACCTCCCTCTTCCCCTGGACTCAAATAACAGGCCCCTTCTACTCTGTACCATGCCAACCCCGCCTAGGGCTCTTCTGTGCCCCCAGACGCCCTCCACTCGGGCCTCTAACCTCACCCACCAATGCCCCAATTCCATGCTCGGGCTGCAGGGTGCACAGCCTCCCTCCTCCTGAACTCGCCCATGCTGCCTTTTGGCCGGGAACTGTCCTCCATCTGTCCTGGTCCAGGAGTCCCTGTGAGTGGTCCAGCCCCTTCTCTCCCCTCCCGCAGTGCCCGTATCTTGGTCTCTCCCAACACCAACACCCATCACAGGACAGAAGCCACCCGTGAGCCTTCGGATGCCCACAGAGGAAGCTCGCAATGTTGGCTGCTACTAGGATATGAGTGCCCAGTGCCGGGAAGCCGTGCGCATTCCTGGACTGAGTAAGTGACGCCCCAGGGCTCCAGGATCCCCGGGGGGCTCCCCGGGAAGGACCAGGGGAGCCAGGGCCAGAGTCGCGCCTCCTCCCATCCCGCAAAACCGCTTACTGGAGCCACTCCGCAGGCAGCCGAGCGCCAGCAGCGCCCAGAGCGGAGGCATCGCACGGTCTCCCGGCTTGTCTGGCGCGCACCTGCGGGCCTGTGTCAGGCTCCGCCCCCGTGCCGGCCAATCCGCAGCCTCGCCCGAGGGCTATTTACATAAACCCCGCCCCGGCAAGTCCGTGGGGTGGAGCGTCTTCCGCGGCGCCTTCACCAAAGCAGCACCCACTCTGCGCTGGGAAGAGGCGGCGCAGACACCTGGGAGAGGTGTCCCGCTAAATGGGACCTTGGGTGTTATCCATACCCTTCTGGAGCCCTGTAAAATAGGGACGCTAATTCCTACCGCTATGGAGCCCCTGCTGCATACAAGGCCTTGGTAAAACTGCTAGCATGAAAAACTAAAGCGCCACGCCTGAGAACTCTCTGACGCTAGTAGTGTGACTTTTAGTTCCCTCTGTCCTCGGAGGTCGAGGCCCAGGAGAGACCTGAAGGGGCAGGGACTCGCCAGGCCACACGAGGCCTCCTTGGCAACACCGAGGTCCCGCTGCCCAGCCCAGGGCTGCTTCCAAAGGGATGGAAGAAGAGCTTCCTGTGGTGACACGCTCCTGTAATCCGAGCACTAGGGGAGGCTGAGGCAGGAGAATGGCCGCTAGTTCCAGCCGAGCCTGGGCAGCTTAGTGACCTAGTGTGACCATGTCTCAAAATGTAAACTAAAAATGGAACTTGGGGTGCAGGTCAGTGTGAAGGTCCTGGGTTGGATCTTCAGCCCCAGGGCGAGTAAGGAAAACGGTTGGGACAGGGCTGCTTCCAGAGGGGAGTTTGAGGGCAGTGACGTGGTCCTCACTCACATCCCCTGACGCACCTTAAGCCAAGCTGATGTTTAAGATATAAAAGTGTATCCTCATCAGGGATGAGGGGAAACTAAAACGGAAAACCAGCAAAGAACGGGCCTGCGTACCACACGGACGACACAGCACTACAGAGAAAAGTGACGTTGGAATGGGTCCTCCGGCTGACTCCAGTGGGGGAGAAAACTCCGGGGACAGAAGGACCTGACTGAAATCCCAGAGACTCAGGAAGGAAGGGCACGACCTAGAGGTTCTCACTACAGGGAGGAGAGGCAGAGGAGGGAGGGAGAGCTCGCTAGTGTTTGTTTTCTCTTTTAATTGTGGCATCGTGATGAAAAAGAAAAAACCCAACTTCTTACCTCTGACCACTAAAAAGACCTAGAGACACCAACACCCCAGGCCACCTGTGTAGTTTCCTGTCCAAAGAGTTTAACCTGGATGTTGTCACCAGGAAGCAATCGGATCCAAACTGAGCAGCTTTCTGGAAAGCAGCCAGCGTGTCTGCTTGGAAAACGTCAGTGTTGAGAAAGACAAAGACAAAGGCAAAATGAGGCAAAGGCTGAGAACTGTGTATATTGGAGAGGGCTGAACAGATGTGGCCACTAAATGCACCGAAGGACTTTGATTAATTCTCAGATAAAAATGAGCAACCTATAATGTTCACTATTAGAGTCAGTATAACAAGGACAGACGTTGGAACTGTGGAATGCGTACTAGATAGCAATCATGATTAGATGTTTAATTTGGGGAGTATGGTGGTTGTAGTGCGGCTAAATAATAGGGTGTGCACCTGGGGCCACTGGGGCAAAGTTGCCACTCTGTGTATGGAGAAAGAGAAACAAGCCAGGCGTGGTGGCGCATGTCTATAATCCCACCACTCAGGAGGCTGAGGCAGAAGGATCTCAGCAAGTTCAAAGCCAGCCTGGGCTACATAGTGTGTTCAAGGCCACCAGAGCTACATAGCAGAACCCTATCTTTAAAAATAAAAAGAGAGAGAGAGAAACAGCAGATGCAGCATGTTAGCAGTTGATAAATAAATACAACTACACATTGTGCTGTTCTTTGTTTTGTTTTGTTTTGTTTTTTGGCTTTTTGAGACAGGGTCTCACTATGTAGTTGACACTGACCTTGAACTCACTATGTAGCCCAGGCTGGTCTCGAACTCACAGCGATCCTCCTGCCTCAGCCTCCTGGTGCTGGGATTACAGGCATGCCTGGCCTGTGCTGTTCTTGAAATGTTCCTGTAGGTTTAAAATTTTTCAGGCTGGGTGGGGTGTCACACATCTGTAATCCCAGTACTCCAGGAGGCTGAAGCAGAAAAGACTCAACTCAAACCCAGCCTGGGCAATTTAGAGAGACCTTGGTTCAAATTTTTGAAAAAAGAGGCCAGGGATTTAGCTCAGTGGTTTCTTCCTCCTGCCTTGCAAATGCAACATCCCGAGTTTGATTCCTGGTACCCCTCAAAACTTTTTTTTGAAAAAAAGGACTGGGGATGTAGCTCAGTGGCAGACTGCTTGCTTAGCATGCACGAGGTCTGAAATTGATTCCCAACAACAAAGTTTTGAAGACCAAAGCACAAGGGAAGGGGTTCTACGCCCTGTCCTCTCTGGGACTGAGCATCCGCTCTGTGACATGGGGGTGGGGTAGAGGCCGGGGATGTAGCTCAGTGGTGCCTAGCCTGCCTGGAAGCCCTGGGTCCTGAGTTTGATCCCCGGCACCAAAAAAATCAAAACATAAAATAAAAAGAAATGGGGGCGGGGTTTGGTTGCTCCTCTTCCATGCAGAGAATGGCTCAGATGCTTATCTGTGAGAAGGGCTCAGCGAGGTAGTTAAGGACTGACTTTCTCGTCCAGCCATCGCTTATGAACCTGGGCTTCGTGGAGGCCACCAACTTGATCATAGGTGCTGTCCAGGGGTCACGCGAGGCTGCCATTTCTTATGAGAAAAACAAAAAGTCCTCTCATCTCTTGCTTTGTCCAGATATGAAGAGGAAGTGTGGGAGAAAATGTTAAAAATAATAATCTGCAAGTGACTAAAAAATGTTCAGCAGAACAAAACATCTCATCTGGATTTCTAAACAAATCTCCGATTCAAAGTTTACCGACTTCTTAGCATATTCTGAAGAGGGGAGAAGTTTGGGAAGGGGCACATTTGCTTGGAGTGCAGGAACAGTGGAGGGGAAAGCGGGGTCCTGGCAAAGATCCCTAAACATGGGCCTGGGGGTGCACCGCTGTAATCCCAGCACTCTGGGAGGCTGAAGCAGGAGGATGGCAAGTTCCAGCCCAGATCAGTGGTGAGTGATTGTCTAACATGCACGACGCCCTGGGTTCTATCCCTGGCACACACAAAGAACGCCACACTCCTGCAGCCCAGGGCTCTATGTGGACACTGCAAAATGTTTTTAGGAAAAAAGTTTTTATTTATTTTTACTTTTCCTTCCTTCATTAGCCAACTTGCAAAGTACAGAGCTGACTTGAGATCCATTATGGATCCAGGTTGGTGGCCAGACTGACCCTGGCCCAGAGCACTCGGAGGAAGCAGGAAGTTTGTGCCATGGGAAGTTAAGCAAAGCCTGGCCCTCCACAGGCCTCCTCTGAGTGTGAAGCGGGAGGCTGTGGGTGACACAGGGGCCTGAGCGGTGGCTTCCCGTGAGCTGTCTCTGGGGAACTGGAACCCTCCCTCAGTGAGTGCCTGCTCTATCCTCTCTCCCGGCTGTCCTAGCCTCTGAGATTCCTTACTTTTTTTCTTTCTTTTGTTCATTTTCTGATTCCTCACTTTCAAAAGACAGGATAGGAAAGCCAGGTGAGGTGGTGCACGCCTGTAACCCCAGGACTCAGGAGGCTGAGGCAGGAAGATGCTGTGAGTTTGAGGTCAGCCTGAACTACACAGTGACACACTGTCTCAAAAAAAAAAAAAAAAAAACACAAAAGCAATCAATTGATGAGGAAACAAAATAAAAGCCAAATGAGGAAACCCAAGTCCTCAGCCCTGGATGCCCACCCTTGCCCCCCACTCTTGCGACTGCGATGCCCACACTGCTCTCAGCAGCCACCGCCTCTCCTCCAAGCCCCAGACCACATATTTCCAGCCACTGCCCTACAGAAAACGTTCTCCTGGGTGACCCTCGGTCCTAGGGACTAGAAGGCCAAGGCTGTGTGGCCGGATGCGGATGGGGTCTCCTGGGGCTGCTCCTGGGCCTTCACACAGTCCTACCTTTGTGTGCCTGTGTCGTCATCCCTCTTCCTCCTCCTCCCTCTTCTTTTTCTTCTTCCTTTTCTTCTCCTCTACCTTCTTATTTTAGGCTGGCCTTGAACTTACTGCGATCCTCCTGTCTCAGCCTCCAGAGTGAATGCTGGGGTTACAAGCGCGTACCACCATGCCCAGAAACCTGACTTTAGGAAAAACAAATTCAAAGTTTCCAAAACATCTAAGATTACTCTATCTTTAAAAAACAAGAATAACAATTCAGTAGACTGGGCTTTCACCTGTGAAATGAGTCATTATCTTTCTTCCCCTCGTTGAACATCACTGCTGCTCTGCAAAACGAGCCCAGAGAGGCCCAAGCCTCCAGATTTTCACTGTCACAGCTGCAAACCTCCCCAGCTCCAGACTGTACTCCTCTCCCGGGAGGCCCAGGCTAGGCTTCTGCGACAGTGCACTTTACATTCTGCCCAGTCGATCACATGTGTCTCTTACAGACCACCTGGAATTCTTCTTCTGCCGCAGAAGTGAGCAAGCCTTCAGCCCGAGTCGGTCTTTGCTTTGGTTTTTGTTTTTGGTACTGGGGATTGAACTCGGGTCCTTGTGCTTGCCAGGCAGGCGGCGGAACCACTGAGCTAAATCCCAGCCCACCAGTCTTCGCTTTGGGAAGCTCCTTGCTCTCTGACCAGCAACACTTTCCCTCTGAGCCTAAGGGTAAAGCCACAGTCTTCCCAGGCCCCTCAACCTCTTCCCCGGCTCCCTGACCTCTGGCTCTCTGTCCTCTCTCCTGGCCCTCTCCCTGAAGCCCTTCAGCACCTGCTGTACCCACTATCCCGGCAGCCCTGCTCCTGCCAGGCCTGGTCAGATCCCTCTTTCTCCTCCGCCAGGAAATCTGCCTTCCTTGGCTTCCAGGGCACAGCTGTGTGGCTGGTAACATGGCGGCCATATATCTCCTCCCCAAGCCCAGGACAGAAGCCCACCAAGGACAGGGACGGGGTTTTCCCTGTTTCAG